TATAACAGTGTTACATACTTTGTGTTACATCTGTTGCCTTCCTCTAGACGATTTTATTGAATCTCTCTGGTGAGAACAGAAATCTCATTTATGTTACATATGGTTTTATATTTGTACCATTCATCTCCCTGATCGAACCAAAGAGTCGGCGGAAATCTTTGAATGAAATAAAGAATATAAAATAAACAAAAGCTGAAAACTAGGCAGATATAAAAGGCGCAAATGAATGCATCTGTGTAATAATTCATCATAAAGTGTCATTTAAAAAAAAATGCAAGCAGTGTAAGTACCTGGATATGACTTGGTATCAGCTAGTAGCAGTCTGCATTACAGTCTCTACAGCAGAGCTCAGAGAGGCTGAGTGAGAAGCAGTGGAAGGAACCATTTAGCTGCATACTGGTAGGAGGAGAAAGTAAAGTGACCGAGAGATAAGCTTATCAGTTTGTTGCTTCTTCTTTCATTGTCTAGTAACAGGGTGGGGAAGGGACTTGTCATGCTCCATTCACACAGAGCGCTAGCGTTTTCCGCGCAGAAAACCGTGCTGCACGAGATGCACAAAATTTAACATACGTGTGCGGATTCCGCACGTTTGCAGCTATTACTATAGCCAGATAGTAAAGTATGTCACCAGCACATAGTGGTTCAATCTTCCAGCAGGTATCATTTTATTGCTGCACACACATCTTGGCACAATGCAACGTTTCGAAGCCACTCAGGGTCCCATTTATCAGGCATGACATGTGGCCCCGAAACATTGGATTGTGACGAGATGTGTGTGCGGCAATAAAATGATCACTGCTTGAAGATTGAACCACGGTGTGCCGGTGACATACTTTACTATTTGGATCTGAAGCTGCGCCATCCGCAGTCACTACAGCACCCACCGCAAGGGACGTACCAGTAAGGAGTGTGGTAGGATTCTCCTGCATTCTATTACTAGGGCCAGAACAGGCGGAATCTGCCCAGGATATCGTGCCTGGACTTTTTTTGCGGGACGCGCATTTTCGTACCGCACGGATGTTGCACAAGTGCGAACAACATACATTGCAATGAATTCTTTTTTATGTTTAGCGCGTATTAATATGTTAACGGAGCCTAAGTGAAAATGGAACTGCAGCAGAGAAAGGTCAGGTCTCCTCCTGTACTAGACAGAGCTGTGCTGCTTGGCAGAGCTGTGTAAATCTCAAGACTGGGAGGGCAGAAATACAAATCCTTTCGCAGGTAAAACAGCTCCTTTTATATGTATTTTTATCTATGTGTATAGCTGTTTGTCTGGAGCTCAGCTTTAAGGCTGGGTTCACACCTAGGCGTATCGAATATGCGCGTTTGTTGCATGTTTCGTGACGCGCGTTTTTGCCGCGATTCCTGTACTTATTTGGGTGTAGGGCGTTTTGTAGCGCGTTCATACGGCCTGTAATACGCCCAGGTGTGAACCATGCCCATAGGAAATAATGGGATTTTGGTGTTTGAGCGTTTTGCAGAGCGTTCGAACGCGCTATAAAACGCCCAGGTGTGAACCGGGCCTAAAAATAACGGAGCCTAAGTGAAAATGGAACTGCAGCAGAGAAAGGTCAGGTCTCCTCCTGTACTAGACAGAGCTGTGCTGCTTGGCAGAGCTGTGTAAATCTCAAGACTGGGAGGGCAGAAATACAAATCCTTTCGCAGGTAAAACAGCTCCTTTTATATGTATTTTTATCTATGTGTATAGCTGTTTGTCTGGAGCTCAGCTTTAAGGCTGGGTTCACACCTAGGCGTATTGAATATGCGCGTTTGTTGCATGTTTCGTGACGCGTGTTTTTGCCGCGATTCCTGTACTTCTTTGGGTGTAGGGCGTTTTGTAGCGCGTTCATACGGCCTGTAATACGCCCAGGTGTGAACCGTGCCCATAGGAAATAATGGGATTTTGGTGTTTGAGCGTTTTGCAGAGCGTTCGAACGCGCTATAAAACGCCCAGGTGTGAACCGGGCCTAAAACAAAACTGTGCTTTACTTAATACTCCACGATGATTCCCCACTGGTATGAGAATCGACCACGGGAGTAATGTCCACGTGCGCAGTATCAAATCTATTTCCGGTCATCACAAAGGTTTGAACTTTGGGTAGAGTTATCTTTTAAGCATCTGCGCCATTGTTCTCCAGGGTAGAGTTATGTTCCTGGTGCACATTGTGCGTATTTTCTGACTAATAATATCTTATCTTGACTGCTATCTTATCTTTTCATCCCTTCTAGATGGCCTCACCCGTCTCTCCAATCACACTTCAGGCTCCGGGTTTGTCGATGCTGTTGCCGTCACTCCTGACAACTTCCTTGTGGCTTCCGGGTTTAATCTAGATCAGGGCCATGGCTTCCTCAATGGTAAGTGCTTTCTTTATGAGAACATTCACGCTGCTACACTCAAACCATGAAGGGATTCTATTATGCAGCCATGTGATATGTACATAATGTAGAGTTTGCTTTACCGTAGCTGTCTACCCATATTAAAGCTCAATGAACTTTCAGATTGAATCAGCTTAACACATTCCAGGTGCAAAAGAAAAGTCTAAAGGTGCACATACACTGCACGATTCTCGTACGAGAATCGCGGGAAATCCCGCGATCGTACGAGAATCATGCAGTGTGAATGAAGACGTGCAACCGTTTTTACTGTACGGTCGCACGTCTTTTGTCTGAGGAGCACGCTAGAAAACCAGCCGAAAATCTTCCGATTTTCGGCTGGTTTGAACGGTGCTCGGGAGACAAATGCCGAACGGGCCGGTGTGCGCACTCGCACACTGCCGTTCAGCATTGCGGTCATCGGAAGCCCACCCCTCAGGGGGGCGGGCTTGCAATGATCGCAAGTACGATCTGCCTGTCCAAGATGGGCACATTGTAAATTTTTTAAATTACTTTACAACCATCGCAAGACTAAGGTCTTGCGATGGTTGTAAAGTGTATGGCCACCTTAAAGCTGGCCATACACCTATAGATTCGGCCCCGCTGGCTCTCAAAACACCTGAACAATGCCTGCATCCAATCAGATTGTTCAGGTATATTGACAGCCAGCGGGGCCGACTAGCAAGATACTGAATCTTGGCCCAGCGGGAGATTCCTCCATCCATACAGTGTAGCGTAGATGGAGTAATCTGTTGCACTTTTTCCATTTGACCATAGAAAATCTGCAGATACTCTATAGGTGTGTGGCCAGCTTTATAAAGAAAGAAAAAAGTCTTGCAGTTTGTCTTCTTTTTAAAGCAGCCACAGCCTGAGCAGAAAAGCCTGCTGCAGGGATGTTCCCTTGCTCCCTGCGGGGAAGCAGTTGTCTCTTTGCAGGTCCAACATGTCCCCTACTGAGTCAGATGTATAGTTCTGCAATCAGGAAAGCTTATCCTCTCGCTGATCAGAAAGCTCTGACTCACCAAGGGATGTGTTGGACCTCTGCAGAGATACCACTACTTCCTTGCGGAGAACAAGGATTCTTCTCTGCATGCTGTCAGGGGATAGGCCTTTCTACTTTTTTAGAAAAGAAACTGTAATTAAAAAAAAAGTTTCTGCACGTTCAATGCACCCAACATGTATTTTAGCTGATTTAAAGAAATCTGGGCAAATAAAATCTTAACCCTTAAAGTGACATTAAACCCTCAGATTTTTTAACATAAAACAATACTGTAATGTGTGCCTTACTGTAATCCATGGTTGTTTCCCTTCTCTTTGCTGCTCTTCCTTTTAAATCTGTATCTCTTCTCATGCTGGGCAGAACTTCTGTTTTGCAGCAGACTGCCTTGTCTCTGGAATGGATACATGGTGTGTGTGTGTAGGTTTGTAACCTGAGCCAGCACTACAGGAAGAGGCACTCAGCTGCAAAGGGAAGTTCTCCCCCAGCATGAGAAGAGATGAGGATTTAAAAGGAAGAGCAGCAAAGAGAAGGCACACATTACAGTATTGTTTTATGTTAAAAAATCTGAGGGTTTAATGTCACTTTAAGTGTTTGTTTTGACTAGGGAGCTAAAATAACAAAGATATACTCACCTTGAAGTGGGGTGGGGGTAGTCCCATTGGAAGGGTTAAGATTGTATTTACTTCTTTAAAATAAACATTCAATAGGTATTTCATAAAATCTGTGCACACTGGTGGATTTAACATATAGATTTGAATGCAAAAGAAAAACACACTGTGACTGCTCATACGCAGCCCTACACACATTTTGCTCGCCTGGAACACAATATTACTTCAAGTTTGCTATAAAAAAAAAAAAATCCACTGTGCTCGTTACTTATTTGTATTAGATCCTGTCATCACTCTTGTAAAAATACGATCTGAAGCTCAACATAAACAGACGGTACTCTTATCCCTTTCATTGCCATCAATGTATGCCATATGTCGGCGGCAGTAGGGCCCAGTAAGCAGACTCTGTAAGCTGCTAAAGCAACCGGGAGTCAGTTGACACGTGTGAACTCGACCGTCGGCTTTACACTGCAAGTGATTCCGCGGGCTACCTAAAGTGCCGTTCGCCGATCCTTCTCCCTGGTAAATGGACTCTGAAGCGACAATGGTTTTGTCGTTTCCACTTTCTGAGCTGTCTTTCAACAGCCACAGAGATTGGGGAAGAAGCTAATCAAGCATGATCTGTGCTTAATCTATTAGTCTAATAGGCCCCTAATGTCTCCAGCAACATGCTATCACTTAGGGGGCTATCAGCGAAGCACAGAGACCCAGTGATGATATCACTGCTGGATCTAAAACAACTTATGTAATATTATTATTACTATACAGGATTTATATAGCGCTAACAGTTTGCGCAGCGCTTTACAATATAAGGAAGACATTACAATCACAATACAATTCAAGACAAGATGGTAAGGAGGGCCCTGTCTGTGAGAGCTTACAATCTAAGAGGGAGGGGCAAGTGATACATGAGGAGGGAGCTGTGTGGGGATGAATTGTTTGAGATGTTTTGTAATAAAAACAGAAACATTTTATTTGCATGTTTATGAGGGAAGGAGGGAGGAACCAGGGACGGTAAAATATAGGCAGTTTAGAGTGACACTAAACTCAGGAGTTAAATCTTAAAAATACATTTAAGTACCTTAAAGTGACATTAAAGGCAGCGCCCCCTCCCAATGCTGGTGTAAGGACTTAACTTAAATGATGCCTCTTGATCTGATCATCTTCCTCCTTACAGTAGTTGAGTCCCTCCAGCGCTGGTGTTGGTTTCTGAGCCAGCACTGACTCCTGTCTCTTCCTGTCCCACGGAGCCTGGGACAGGACACCCTGTGTCTCTCCTCTTCTCCCGGCCGATGATCTGTACTGTGCATGCGCCCGCCCCATGATCCTTTGCGGCCGCTCGAGAATCTTCAGATCTTCGGACGGGAGCGCGCGGCGGAGACGCAGGTAAGTTTTAACCCTTTTGAAAAGTTTAAAAAAAAAATGTTTTTGCATATATCTACTGCTTGCTAGCAGTAGATGTATGCAAAAACATGCAAGGCTTGAATAACCCTTTAACTATTAACAACAATGTATCTTATTTGTGTATCACTCGGCTGTAGATCCTCCAATCATCTCTGAATTGGTGCTGACGCTGTCCTTCCTTCTGGAGGGTGGCTACTTGTGTTCCCCATGGTCCCTGTGTGTGTTGTAAAGTAGCCACTGCTAAAAGCTCACTCCCAGGATGGACTACAATCTCATGTTTAGTTTATTAATATGTACTGAGATTGTAGTCCATCACAGGACCGAGCTTGGAGTGGTGACTACTTTACAACACACACAGGGACCATGGGGAACAGACGTAGCCCCCCTCCAGAAGGAAGGACAGTGTCAGCACCAATTCAGAGATGATTGGAGAATCTACAGCCGAGTGATACACAAATAAGATACATTTCTGTTAATAGTTAAGGGACTTGAATGTATTTTTAAGATTTATCTCCTCAATTTAGTGTCACTTTAAACTTCACCCTTAACTGGTCTCTGAACCCTCTCATACTCTAAGGCTGTAGCGCACAGAGATGTTTTAAGCTGGAAAGAAAACCATAGATATTAACTAGGTATGAGAATATTGATCTACCACAGATGTAATATATGTCAAATTCAAGATTTGCAGCTTTTCATTAACGCGTCTGCGAAGTCATCTGATCCGCAATAAACAGACCGCCTCACTTGTCGGAATTCATGAACTGGGAGAATAACTGGTCCTCGTGTGTTTATTCAGGAGAACTTGTGGATGGAGTTATACCTGGAATGTGTCAGACGTCCCTTACTTGTGATCAATCAAAAATCAATGCACTCATCAGGACACGTTGGGTTTGCTATTTCATTTAGTTCTAACTTACAATTGGCATTCGCATTCCTTGCAGCACAACACATGCGCAGTGCAATTTAGAAAAGGAGCCGACCCCGATGTTACAGTTTGGTTAGGATCAAAACGATTTTGTCCGATAGGATCAATGTTATTTGATCCGATCAGAAATACCAAATTTGCTGACAATGAACACCAGCACAAATGTTGCTGTCATTAAACAATCAGATTAAATGTACTGTGCGCACCTTAATGTGTATGTTGATGGAAACCAATAAATTGATCTGTCTGCCTAATATTGACAGCCAAAGCAGGTATTGTAAATGTAAACTCTAAGGGCCCATTTAGACAGTGATCTACAATGTGCTGCACCGGATCAACGCAGGTCACATTCACACTACAACACAGTGTGCAGCGCACTGCGATGAAAGGGAAACATCCTTCATTTTATTGCCGCACACTGGATCCCAACACAGGTCGCCACATGGCAACATAGTGGACCACTCTGCTGTGCGGGGACCTGAATGAAGTGGACACATTGTACACTACAATACACATAAAATAAAAAAAAGTAAGAAAAAAATATAAACAGTGACAGTTCCGATACAACACACACAACCGGAGCTGTCACAATGCACTAGCCCGTCCGCTGAAACGCAAGGTTTCGGTGGATGAGCAAGTGTGATCTGAATGACGCTTTTTTTTTTTTTTTTTAAATTAAAACCTTTTTCCTTTTTTTTTTTT